GGCGCCCTCCGCCCCGCCCTCGTGGCCCCCGGGTCCGAAGGACGCGGGAGGCGGCGGGAGGGGTTCCGCCTCCGATTTCTTAAATTATTAGCAGCCACCCTGCCTGCTCTCAGGACACGCACTCGCCGTGGAACGGAGCCGGCCCTGTGACTGCCCGTGCTCTGCGAGGCCTGAGTTGCTCTTCTGCGCCCAGCCCCTCTTTAGACTTGAGGACAGGACTTTTCCCCGGCAGCCATTCACGCCGGCCAGGGTGCGCTCCGGGTGCGCTTTCGCACCGCCCAGGAGCCTGGAGGCCCAGGCGTCCCGCAGTCTTGTGCGGTGAAGCGGGGCCTGGCACGGTGACTTCTGTGCACTATACAGATAGGGACGTTGAGGCCAAAAGCGACAAGCAGCTGCGAGTGGCTGGGGAGGAGATCCAGGGGACGCACAACCAGTGATTTCTAATCTATGAAACCAGTGATTTCCAACTTGTTCGGCCAAGCTACGCTCAGACGGGAAATCACGTTGCCGTCTAGTGGGTAAAAACAAAGGCACCGGGTCCACAGATAACGTGTTTGGTTCCAAACCCAGCCTCCCGCGCGTACTAGCTGGGTGGCCTGGGACAATGGCCCCATCTCTCTGGAATCTCAGAGCCCCCGCCTGCCAGACCGAGGTCATAACGTATCCATCTCACCGTGTGCTGGTGAGGATCGAGATGAGCACCTGTCACGTGGTCTGTGTTTGGTAAAGCGAGAGCCAATTTTTAAGTAGATACTCCGTGTATTTCAAAGGCCTACGCAAATATTCCCGACAAGCGGCGAAGAATTGGAGTTCCAACTTTCCTCTGAATCACTAGACCTTTTCTCCCCAGTGCTACTGACTTTCCTAAGTAACCGTGGACTGCTAAAATGGGCCTCATTTTAAAAGTACTTCACAATGATACATTTCTCCAAAACCTGCTACCCCCGCCCTGCAACCCCAACCAGTTTATCATTTTCCACCACGAAAGGGTGGAGCTGAAAACCCTTGCACATAAACCTCCAGGTCCACTTCCTTTGTTGGACAGTTACAATAAATTTAACCTGTCAAAACGGTTTTGGTCTGTCTTTTTTCACTTTCCCCCCAGCCCCCCTCGTTTTTTGGTGGGTGTTTAAATATTTTGCTCTGGGTTTCCAGGGCTGGGAACTCTTACTCCAGAGACTGTGAGAGCTGTAACAATCAGAACGGCCAGACACCTACCTCCCAAGGCGGATTAACAGTCAGGGTGAGTTGGAGGGTTAGAAAGTCAAACAGTGCTGCACAGTCTAGTTTGCTATCTGGAAATGGTAAATGAAAAGCCGGTTATCTAACAAGACCCTGCCTCAGTAATCACCTCAATTTCCTTTCCTGCCGAGGCTCGAATTTTTTTTTTTTTTTCAAATACAGTGATCTAATCTCTACCGAGTTAGTTCTTGGAGACTTCTCAGAAACAGTGACCATTTGTGAAAATATGCTCATCAGGAAGAAAAACCACCTGCTGATCTAAAGAAGAGAAAGAAGAAAAAGAGGAAGAGACAGAAGAAAGAGACCACATTAATATGAAACCTTTTAAGATGAGCAAGCAGGAAATAGTTATAGGAACCCATTAAAAGCCACAGCAGCAGAACTAGATGAAACCGGGTTAATTATACCACAACGCTGACATCTTTAACTTCATAAGGTAACTGGAAAAGGTTTGAAAGTGTCAGAATCTTTAAAAAATAAAGATTGCTCTGGAAGCAATGGAAACACAGGGTTTGGAATGAAGAGAAAAGCCAGCAGATAAAGAGATAAAATTAATACAGCACGGTATTTTTTTATTTATTTTTTTTTTTTAGGAAGAATTAAATCCATGCTGTTTCCCTAGTAGTAAAAGGGAGTGACAAGGGATTCTCACTATTATCAAATTACTGTGACCTGACCTACTTAGGAGTCAATGTTCACAAGAGATATTTTAAACACTGTCAACATAAATGCTGCAATTTATGGATTCAGTCTGGGTTACGTATACCTGTTCACTTCAGGAACATTCAGACAACACCGATTTGCAAAGTTATGATCTTGGTGGGTGACTATATAAATTTCCACTAAATAGTCTCATCACATGGACATTAGCACTGAAATAAGCTGTCTAGACAAATAGAGACCCTTTATAGGTTGCTGTGTGGTTAGAGGCAAACAATTCTATGGGGGGGGCGGTTTGGCAATTCTAATGGTGCTTTCAATTAATACACATCTAATTCAGGGGCTGAGATGTATAGTTGTCTCCATCTTTATCTTATCTATTTTAAAAGAGGTAGTTTTTATCATTGTTTAAGTGGGATCCTAGTGTTCCACTACTTATCAGGGTGTGGCCTTCAGCAAGTTACTTAAATTCTCTGAGCCTCAGTTTCCTCATTTGTAAAACAGGGACCTCACAGATTGTCATGAGGCTGAAATGAGAGCTGGCAGAGGGCACAGGCTTCGGTGTTAGCCAGATTTGGATGACTCTGCACAGAAAACTGTAGAGCTTAGGTTGAATTATTTTTCTTCTCTAAGCCTGTTTTTTCGTCTACAAAATGGAAACATGCCACTTACTTCAGAGGTTACTGCAGAGATGAAAACAAAGGAAACATGTAAAATGCTTAGCACATAGGGCACAGGTATTGGTTCCCTTTCCTTGTTTTCTGGAGGATTTTTACTTATCGCATCAAGAAAAGCAATCCTTTTAAGCACTTTTGATGCAGTAGTAACACAGCTTGCCTGAACTGCAATTGATAGGCTGTCTATGGGTGAAGTACCATTCCTAATGAAATTGTCGGGATTTTTTTCCCCCCTTTAAAATAGCTCCCATCGGTTTCGGCTTAAAATTACCCATTCATTCAGCATCCAAACTACTTACTAAGGACCCAAGAAAGCAGTCAAGTGGGAAAAGGTGGGGTGGGATAAAAGTAGGAACTCTGTGATGAACAGAATCTTAAAACTGAAACCAATTTTTGCACCTGATAATGGAATTCCCCTGAAAGTCTATGAAGATGTGCATAAAATCAGGAAAAACCAGTTGTCCCGTGGCTGAGTGTGCCACTAATAAGGAGAAGTGAATCTGAAGTTTTTTTCCAACCCACATGATTCAAGATGCGTCAGGGCCTAGCTTTTCCATGAAGATCACTCTGCAAGTCACCGGGGGCTTCCCCCATACCCCGAGAAATGACGGTTCTAGTCAAAGAATAAAATTGACACTTAACATCTGAATGTACTGCCAGGCTCCAATTTGATCTCTAGTTTCTTATACTGTCTTTATAGAGGTTTTTGGTCTGAAATATCAACTCTTTCAATAAGAAAAACACAGGGCACTTATACCTGATTACAACTGGAAAATAGAAAACTATTAATTACTTACAAGATTTTTGGAAATTTCTAACTAATGCCAAATATTATTAATCACACTAGGTCCAAACTACACATTCTGCTGCTAGTAGCAACATTTAGTGGATCCTGCAAAGTTCGAGGAAATAGAAAAGAATAAATGCACTTGACTAAGAGAATAAGGCTAAAAACCAGGTTTAGGAGATCAGTTTCCAGACCCTCCTTTTTGGTCAGTACCTTACAGTTTAATGTCCCTTCGAACATATTGCCAGGGAAGCAGGCATAACTTGTTCTGTTACTCAGCACATGTTTCCAGCTACAGTATCGTGAGTATGCAAATAACCTCTTGAAACTTTAAAAGCACGTGCCTAAATGTAATTGCCAATAGCAGATTTCACAGAATTTGAAAAGTAACTATCTAAAATATACTTCACTTTAACTCTCTGTAATTAGTGTACCCTTTCTTATTTTTCTAAATTCCAAACTAAAGACTGCATGTACAATATAGTTCCCAAATACCTGAAGGAAGATATTCCTTCTAAATCTCTGGACAGACGGCCATTGGTATGTGACCCTGTGAAGGTCACATAATTCCCAAGTGAAAAGAAGCAAGGAAAAAAACCCCAGCTTTAAACCCTTATAAAATTGTTTTCCAGAAACTACAAAAGTCTTCTATTTCATAAACTATTTAAATGTTTGATCGCTATTAAGTTATTAAACGAAATTAAGACACTTCCTGAGCATTCTCAGTTTCCAAAAAACTATATAACATTCAAATGTAAACCGAGACTCTCAAATAGAGTACATCACTTTAAAAAGTAAACTATGCTTTAAAAGTGAAACTACACTTAAACATCACCTTTCCTTTTAACAACCAGTTTCATACTGAAATCAGAATCAGTTAACTGTCTTTGGTACTCCCTCTTGATAGCTAAAGGTATCATTTATTTTCTATTCCTATTATGTTCTTTCAAGTGGCTGATTTTTTAAAAATGTTTTCTGGAAATTTTGCTAGCATTTCTTTTGATAACACACGAGTTACTCAGACTCTGGAATTTTAATTTTTTGAAAAATTAAAATGATGAGAATTAGAAAGCCATGTGTGGTATATAGTGCAAGAAGTACAGATTCAAGTCCGAAGCAGATGAGGTTCCAGTCTTGGTTCTGAAGATGCTTGGAGAAAATGCCCCCACTAGCTGTGTGATCTTGAGCAAGTCATTTAAGTTCCTTGGATTTATTTTCACATCTGTTGCTTATCTAAGGACCCTTCCAGTCTAATATGCAAATAAGTTTTTTACAACAATGCAGGATAGAGATTAAGTGCTAGGCTTTGTGGGTGGGTCCTGAATGAGAGTTCCATCTGGGTCATTGAATAAATTAATCTAACCAAGTCTCATCTTTTAAAAGGATTCAAAATAAATACCTTATAAGATTTTTGTGATGTTACATAAGATGATGTATATTATAAAGTACTTAGCAGGATTCTTGGCAAATTTAATCGCTCATATAAACTTAACTATTATCCTGCTGTGTGGATTCACAAAATAAAATCAGACGTTGGAGAAAGATGGGATAATCTTCGCCACCTATTAAACATTGCCTTTCTATCTTCCTGGTGCCACCTTAGTGCCCTACTTTTGTCCTTGCAGAGGGTGTGACAGAACTTGTACATTACTGGTTTTCTTATTCAAGGGAGAGATTCATAGATTCATGAGTTTACTAAGATTGCAAACAGCTAAAAGATCTAGGACCCTCCCTTTCCCCCACCCTCTGCCTTCAGCCCTCCCTCCTCTACTGTGTATTCTTCCAATTGATTTTTTAAATCTGAGTTCAGCGCTTTTGCTCCATCTAGCTTCAGTTCCTAGTTCCAGCTAAAAACTTTAAGAATCTGATTGTAGTAAAACACATTAGTATGCTGATAGTCACTCAGTATTGGGGTTCCTGGTGTTTTTTCTCCTCTTTTGCTTAAATGATTTCACACAAAGAGCATGTATTATTTGTGTGGCAAGCTAAAAAAGAATCTAAAAGCTAAATAAATCTGGCTAGTCTACTGGAGATTTTAATAAGCATGTTCGTCTATAACTCCTTGATAAAAAATGGTGAGAATAGGGAATCAACTGCTGAATTCTTCCATTAAAGACGTCCCCATACGTCCCACAGATTAGAAGCAAAGAAAGTTACCACACAGAATTAGGAGAAAAACTTTGAGACTCTGACTCTAGAGGTCGATGAAATAGCTTGAGGCAATATAGCACAGTAGTTAAGAGCTGACCCGTGATTCCCAGCTCAATCTGGAACAAATGACTCAATTTCTCAGAACCTCAGTTTGCTTACCTGTCAAGTGGGGATGATAATACCTACCCGGACCTCATTAGATTGTTCCAAGGATTAAATGCAATAGTGCACATAACAAGCCTAACCAAGTGCCTGATAAGGGATTAATAAATCGTTATTACCACTGCAGGCATTTCGTTTGAAATTTTAGTGTGAAGTGCCTCCAGAAAAAAACAAAACAAAACAAGGGACCTATGACAAGCCAGGAACCTGATGTTTTCCATCGAGTCAATGTCGCTCGTGAAATCAGTCCAGTCAACGGCCAGGCACTGTGCTGTACGAGTACAACACATCCCCAGCCCCGGCGGGCCAGGGTGCCCCTGCGATCGCGGCCCTGCAGGCCCAGGGTCGCTTTCAAAGCTCGGCGGGGGGTAGGTGTGGCCCGTCCTGGTCCGGTCCAGCCACTGTTCCCATGACAACAGCCACAGCGTCCCCACTGGGGGTTACACCTCTCCTGGCTAAACCGAAAGTCCGCACAGGGGAAGCCAACCGAACAGCTCCTCGGTGGCCCCCTCCGGCCCCTCTTTTTCCCCGCCGCCAACTCCAGGAAAAGTGCCACAGGTACAGCTGCGCCAGCCGCCGAACCCACCCCTTCCAGGCTCTTCCGGCGACCGCTGCCCTTTAACCCCGGAAGTGGGCAGGAGAGGAAGCAGCTGGTGATGCTGGAACAAACATGGCCGCCCCGGCGCCTGTCGCCCCTGCGAGCTCCCACTGTCGTCGGCTGGTCGCGGGCCTCCGGCTGCTTCCGCTGCTGGGACTGCTGCAGCTGCTGGCCGAACCCGGCCTGGGCCGCGTCCACCACCTGGCGCTCAAGGTAAGGCCGGCTCGGGCCGGACCGGGCCGGGGGGCGGAGGACGAGGCCGCCCCCCGGGGCTGCGGGCCACTTTGGCCCGGGGGAGGGAGTAACCTCTGAGCGATTGTCCCCAGGCCTTGTCCCGGGACGCGGCCTCTCCGTGAGAGGGGTCTTTCGGGACCTGTGGGAATGGCGGGGGTCCTTGCGCTGTCTGGAAGGGGCAGGAATATTCCCGCTGACACAGGAGAAGGGGCTGAACTGCGGCGAAACCCCAGTGACTCGGAGGCCGCGCTTGCAATCCCGGCCGGCTTCCCTGGGTCCCACGCTTATAACAACCTGCTCTTCCTCCTCCCTTCTCACCTCCAACTTCTGTCCCCGACCTCGCTCGTCCGCCGTGTCCGTTCTTCCATCCCCTTGCGCCTGGGCAGTTTGAAGATACACGGAACCTCTGCCTCAGTCTCGGCTCTCTAGACTGATCGAAATGGGACTCTCCAAGAGGAATTTCAAATCTCGCTTGAAATACATGACCAGAATTTAAAACCAGCCTTAAAAATATGTTTCTAGTAAGAAGACCGGTCTTTTTATCCCTCGCTCCTGTCATTGTCTGTCTAGGGAAGAGATTTATGATAGACCTGGAATAATCCCTTGGATCTTGCTTTATAACTCACGACTAAAAGTCATCCAAGGCTAAAACGTGCCTGCAGGAGATTCAGTAAGTTAACATATCTGGAGAATAGAAAAACGAATCGTTATGACCAAAAACCTTGTACATTATTTTCATAATACACAGTTTTCTAAGAAGTGGGATTTTAGAAAGTTTGTCCTATTAAAACATATTACTTTAACAAAACATGAAACATTATATTTTGTGAACGTAGAGTATAAAGAATACAGAATCTGGATTAAAATACATGGCCAGACCCATGCACCATGCTTCTGGGTATCAGTTGTTTATAAATAAAAATTATCTCGATTAAAATGGTTCTCAACCTCAGGGAGCTAGGTGACTTCCTTTGAGAATCTGCTGAAAGCTACAGAACCTCTGAAAAGTGCAGGTGATATGTAGACAGAACTTTCTCCGAATTTTTATAATTCTGCTGAAGCTTATCAGTAAGCCTCGGTCCCCAGGCTTATGACTCCAAGTTCAAAACTCATGATCTTTAAAATTCTTTAATTGTATAGTTTAGTATCCTGAGTCTTAGATTAAGTAATATAACTGATTTCATATAATTTATAAATTGGAGACGAAGCTAATAGTAGGACACACCGGACTGTGTCTCTTGTCCCTCAGTTTAGTGCTCTTTGTAAATGTCTGGAATTAATGTCGAGTTGCATCATTACGTAAATACCAACAATATTGGTATAGATTTAAAAGTATACTAACCTCAGTGGTAGAAGCAAGTGAATGGTATAAATCAGGTGATCAATTTCTCCCTATTGGGCTAAGTTACTTAATGTTGTTCATATTTGTAACATGTTTCCTAAGTACTACCTGCCATTCCATAATCAATATTATAATTGTTTCTTTTAAAGTAAATTCTAACTTCTTGCTCAAGGAAGTGGAAATCACCTGAATACAGCCTGTCCGAGCAGTAACATTAGATTGTTTTGTTTGAGACTAAGAGAAATAGCAGACTCGATCAGGTTATAGACCCCGACTGGTAAGAATAACGTGTAAAGGTCACTGAGTACCCGAAATATACATTGATCTTTTAAAAAAAACTTTTTATCGTGAAGAATTTCAAATATATACCAAAATAGGCAGAATCGTATAATGAAGTCCACTGTAGCTGTTACCCAGCTTCTATAACCATTAATCAAGGGTAATTCTGCCCATCTCCACACATGTCACTTCTCTCTTTGAATTCTTTATTTTTTTTTTAACGAGAAATAAGTGCTTTTGTTTTTTATTCCCTTTTCTTATCCCTTGCTACATTTTTCATCATTCTTCTGGTTTTCTCAATCTTTTCAAATTTCTTCTCTTTTGATCTTTCTCTTGGTTCCTTACCTTTTTAAAGTAACTTCATTGAGGTGTAGTTTATGCACCATAAAATTCACCCATTTTAAATGTACAGTTCAATGATTGTTAGTAAATTTACTGAGTCGTGCAACTGTCACCACAGTCCAGCCATGGAATATTTCCGTCATCTCTGTAAAATCTCTTGTGTTAGTTTATAGTTAATTCCTATCTCTACCCCCAGAGTCTAACTTCTAATCTATTTTCTGTTTTTATAGATTTGCCTTTTCTGGATATTTTCTGTTAGTGGAATCACACAGTATGTGATCTTTTGTTCTGGCTTCTTTTACTTACGTCTTTGAGGTTCATTCACGTTATTAGTAATTCATTTCTTTTAATAGCAGAATACTGTTGCATCGTATGGATGTACCACATTTGGCTTAGCCATTCCCCAGTTGATGGACATTTGGCTTTCCATTTTTGGCCATTGTGGATAACGCTGCTACAAACATTCATGTGCAAGTTTTTGCAGAGACAAATGTTTTCATTTTGGGAAGTGATACTTGGGAGTGGAGTAAGATTGCTGTGTCATGTAGTGGGTTTCTATTTAACTTTTTTTTTTTTCGACATACAATATTATATTAGTTTCAAGTGTACAACATAGTGATTTGACAGTTACAACGTGGTCACCACAGTAAGTCTAGTTACCACGTCACCTCACAAAGTTAATATGATATTATTGACTATATTCCCCATGTTGTACATTATATACCTACGCTATATTTAGTTTATGACCGGAAGTTTGTACTTCTTAATCCCCTTCACACAGCTTGTCCCCCCTCCCCACCCAACCAGTGATCTGTTCTTTGTGATTTCGGGTTTTCTTTAATTTGTTTGTTCACTTTCCAAAGTGACTGTACCGTTTTACATTCCCACCAGCAATTTATAAAGGTTTCCCTTTCTACACATTGTGCCAACATGCCCAAGGACTGTGGGAGCACAGAGTCCTGAACCTTTTGTAAGAGGATAAGACAAGGATGATTTTTTATGAGAGATAACATCTGACTTGAACCTTAAAAGAGTTTACATGTTAGGAAAAGGAATTAGCCAAGAGAAGCACATGGAAAGAGTAGGATAGTCCAGGTGGAGGGGACAGCCTCATGAACACGGTGGCGAGGAAGGTTGTGGTGCCTGGTGTCGATGTGTGAATGAGCGAAGCACGGAGCAGAGGAGATGTGTAGGCCTGTATGACACATGCAGGTGTTTGAGTTCCCGTCTTCAGCGTTCGGGAGCCCTGATGCTTCTTACTCTGGGAGTGAGAGTAAGATTTTCGTTTTAGATGGGTTTCTCTGGGAGCTTAATCAGGGCCAAGACTGGAAATTTTTTTTGGGAAGCAAGGGGCCGGCCAGGTTATAGACATATTCTAGATGCGAGATTAAGGCCTAAAGTAGGGCCTTGGGCGGAAGAGGGAGAAGAGAGTACAGACCACCCAGCTATGCAGAGGGTAGACGATGGATGGACAGGTGCGAGAGTGAGGGAGGAGGTGACATCTAGTTGCTGGCAGAGGTTATAAAGGTGGCCGTTGGTGCCATCACCTAATAGACCATAGGAGGACAGGTAAAGGAGGAAGATATTACCTTGACTGTGACTTAATAGTTGAGAAGGGAACAAGAGCAAGACGCCTTTCCCCTCAGATTGTAAACATGGTCCCACCCTGCCACTCACATTCACAGTGGAAGCATTAAGTTGGGGGATACGATGAAGGGGCATATTTTGCATGACGTGAAGGGCAGTTCCTGTGTAATGATCCTTAGCAGAGCTGGATGACTCCTTTTTCTCAGATTAAAGCAACACAGAGAGGCACCGTGGTCGGGCTGGAGCACATGCTCCTCTTTAGGTCATTGAAGTGTCCTAAGGGCAGCAGGCTTCCATTTTGCGTGGGCCCGGCTAATGCGAACGTGTAGATCGAGCTGGGTCTTCTTCATTTTTCTACCTTTTGCTACCTACGTTTCATGCGCCAGGGTGAGATAGTCCATGGCACTTCGAAGGTTATTTTGACAGCAGTACCTGGCCGTTTGAACCAGAAAGACTCGTAACCTCAGCATGTACTTTAAATGCTCTTTTATACAGACATTTCAGGGTTTCATCTCTTTTAAGTACAGATATCTAGTAAGTATCTGTTCTTTGGCACATGTATCTATAAACATATAACAGGCTTCTTTTTAATGTTAATTTACGTTCTTCTGAGAATACTTGTATAAAATAATCAAATATTTGATTACTCGGGTTTCTTAATAAAACAGCCCTGGAAAATTCTGATGATTGTTTTATCTTTTTTCCACTTTTATTGCCCCTCTTCTTCCACTGATGCTGTTATAGATGTTGCTGATTTTCTCTTCCCAGTGCACAATAATAAATGTGGTTTATTTTATTTTTAACTAACAGAAACAATGTTGGGATCAAGAAATATTGTCTTGACTACGCGATATGTTTTCTTTTTCCTTCTTTAGTTGAAGATTGATAACATAAATAGGGGTCAGGTCCTTAAGCAGTTGAACACTTCCATGTAAATGATTAAGAAGATCGTGAAATGTGCTGGGTTGACCGGAGTCCCTGCAAAATTAACGTCCACCTGCAACCTCAGTGTGGCCTTACTTGGAAGTAGGGTCTTTGCAGATGTAAGGAGTTAAGATTGGGTCCTGGTGGATTAGGGTGGGCCCTAATTCCCGTATGAGCAGTGTCCTTAAAGGAAGAGGAGACACGCCCAGGGAAGGGGGCCAGGCGAAGACGGAGGGACGCAGAGATCCGTGCTGCAGTCGGAACCAGGAATGTAGGGGATGCTGGCAACCAGCAGAAGCTCAAAAGAAGCAAGGAAGCATTTTTTTCCCTAGAGTCTTCAGAGGGAGAACAGCCATGCGGACACCTTGATTTTGGACTTCTAGCCTCCAGAACTGTGAGAGTGTAAACTTCTGTCTTTTTAAGCCACCCAGCCTCTGGATGTTTGTTACAGCAGCCCCAGGCCACTAACACAACATATAACTTCAGATAGCAACATGCTGTTTGC